TGTCTTTCAATTTGTTTTTTTAGTGTTTTTCAGCATGTATGTATTTTTACATGAACGTATTTATTCCATATCTAAATTAATGCACAAAGCACCATATAGTTACAGTCACAAATATTGCATATCTAGTTATAGTTCTAGGTCTCAAAGCCAGTTTTTTAAATATTTTTCTTTCTTTCTTTCTTTCTTTAAAGAAATTTGCAGTTATGATATTTGAATGCGTGTCTTCCCCCCAATTTTATTCTGACAAGGTTCCAGTGATTTGGGGTTAGCAAAATATTTGGAAATCATAGTCCTGACTCCCATTTCCTGATGGTATTTGCAATAAATTAAACCTGTGACATCAAAGTAATATTCACTGAGTTTGGGGTTTATGCAGGAATGGTCTCTGGTTTTATCTGGAGTTTTGGATCTCTGCTAAAGTCAATTAAAAAGACCGAGTGGGGGGATGGTTTTGGAGTCTACTAGAGGTTTATTATTGTTGTTGTTGTTGTTATTGTTATTATTAATTAAAGAGAAAAAGTAGTATTGAAAATGAGAGAACCAAGGAAAAAAAAGAGAAAACTGCAACCAATAACCAAAACTATATAAAGATAACAGAGACAACAGATTTTCATAATTAATAAATTGGCAAGCAAGTGGTAGAATCCAGCTTCTGGAACAAATACTTCTGACCTCTGATGTCTCTAATGGATTTTAATCATGGAGTGGTAAAAAGTAGTTTTGTTTTCTTTATTTCTAACAAGAGCCACGTTCAAACTTCACTTGATGGATATTTTCATGACGCAGTGTTCATTTTAGTAAAGTTTCTTTCTCAATTTAGCTTTGTATGTGTAGTGTGTGTGTGTGTGTGTGAGAGAGAGAGAGAGAGAGAGAGAGAGAGAGGTTTGGGGATGGGTGTCAGAAATGAAATCTAGATTAGGTTTAATCATATTCAGCATAATAGCTTGGTTCATACCTTCTAATAACCTATAATTTTAAAACGAAGCGTTATTGAACAAGTTGAGTGACTGGGTTTATACATTAAGCCCAGATTAAACGTACTTCATGTTGAACTGTAAGAAAATAACTAATGTGTAATTGAGTCTTCATGTGATTATTTGGTATTGTATTCTCAGCTGGATACAGAAGAGTAAAGATTTACATCAAGAAACAAGTAACACTGAATAACAGATCAGTCTTGTTTATTACTGTATATATCTATATATCTTGGGAAGAAAGGATTTTTCTCCAAATGTCTGGGAACTAGGGCAGTCTAATTAGGAGGGATGAAGTCCTCTCTCAATTCTTTTAAAGCAGTGGTTCTCAACCTGTGGGTCGGGACCCCATTTGGGGTCGAACGACCATTTCACGGGAGTTGCCAAACAACAGTCCGCCATTTTTTTTACCCCTTTTCCTTAGCTATGCTACTCCCTTTTATTCTATTGGTTTTTGAAAGCCAATAGAATAGACTCTCTTGAATAGAGTCTAATTCTATTGGCTTTCAAAAGCCAATAGGAATTGTCCAGGCTGTTTCTGCCCTGCTGAGCCCGCCAAAAGTCCCATTCTGCAAACAGTGCTGCACCAGTTGAGTAGTCCTCAACTTAGGACCAGTTGAGTAGTCCTTGACTTACAACCGGTTGGGGGTCGCGGCATTAAAAAGGTTGAGAACCACTGTTTTAAAGCAAGCAATAAAACAGGTTAAAGGCAGGGAGATTCAGAAGTACAAGTAGTCCTCTACTTATGACCAGAATTGAAACCGGAATTTGTTAAGTGAGCCATGCTCAATTTTACAGCCTTTCTTGCCATGATTATTAAGCAAAACACTGCAGTTGTTAAGTGAGTCATGTGGTCGTTAAGCAAATATGGCTTCCCCCATGGACTTTGCTTACCAGAAGCCAACTGGGAAGGTTGCAAATGGCGAACTCACTGACCCAGGACACTGTCGCTGTTGTCAATACATACTGGTTGCCAAGAGCCCAAATATTGATCACGTGACTGTGTGGAATGTTGCAATGGTTGTAAGTGTGAGGACTGGTTGTAAGTCACTTTTTTCAGTGCCATTGTAACTTTGAACAGCCACTAAATGAATGGTTTAACTCAGGGGTCCCCAACCTATGGTCCGTGGTCTGGTACCGGGCCATGGCCTGTTGGCTACTGGGCCCCTGGAATAGGTGGCAATCTCCGCTCCACTCGCGGTAGCACCACTGCGCAGGCACTAGTAGCCCTATTTGTGTATGCGTGGGAATGCTAGCACTGCCAACATAATGCGGGCGCTAGCGGCCCGTTTGTGCATACCCATGGGCACCAGTGTGCGTGCCATGGGCGCATGCGATCCATTTGTGCATGCGCATGCTAGTGCTGCCATTGTGCGCACGCCCGTTTGCGCATGCACGTGCAGAGCCACACGCGCACGCATTTCCCTGCTGTTCCCTTTCCTTCCGGGCCGCCAAGCTGGAAAGGTTGGGGAACTCTAGTTTAAGTCAGGGACTACTCTTATGCTGGATCCCATTTGGATTTGTTCCTCTCTGGATGATCTGTTGGCTTCTCTCGGTCAATAATCTTGTAGCTGGGAAGTCCTTAATGGTAGGTGGTGCTAAATTGCACTTCTCCAGGGATTATTATTAAGGATGTTTTCCCTTAAAAGAAAAAAATGGCTAGGAAAAAGATTGGCTCACATCAGGAAATCCAAAGCTCCTTCATTGTTCTTTTGGCTTCCTTCCCACTGATCATCTCAAGAAGAACCGTATTAAAACAGGACCCCTTTCCAGGAACAGAAGTGATTTATACAGAGAGGGGCCATGAACACCAACTGCTAATTTGTATGCATTGTTGCCGATTAAATTTCCTGTGAAGACACCACTTTCTTCTTTAGATTATGCTTGCAGTTATAAGAATTTTTTTTAAAAAAAGAGGGTTTGGAGTCACGTGGAATTTACACATCCAATGTGAAGAAACAAAAAGCAGATCTAATGCTTTTTACTGATTGCTCTTCTAAGTTTAGCGGATCACTTCAGAACAATATTGGGAGGGCAGGATTTATATTCTCTCTCAATTTTGGAGAACGGACACTAAGGAAGTGGAGTTTATATAAATAGCTGCTTTAAGAACAGCATTTGATTTCAGAACGGAGCTGTTCAAGCCCTTTTTATTTTAGGTTGTGTTTAGAAATCAATAGATTTTTGTCACCTGCAATTTAGCTATCTTATTTCAAAGTAATAGAGGTAATTTGATACTGGTTTTATCTTGTTGTTTTCTCCGAAGTTGCCCAACTTTTCTCATCAACATGGAACATCATTTCTGCACTTCCCGAGTAGTTGAGAAAAAACAAAATCAACACTTTTTCAGCTCCTGACTTCCACTGAAGCATGGCAGTGTGGCTTCCAGCCCCATTCTTACTTTAAGTGGAAGATTTTACAGGCTAGGGGGTGCATTAAGATTATGGAGGATTAAGGCATCCATTTTACCTGCATTTTAAATGGATGATTTTTGCTGCCAATATGTAGCATTGTAGGGGGCTCTGGAGAGGGCAGAAAGGAGCTGGAGACCCACACTTCTGCAAGTTGCTCACTCCTACACTAATTGCGGCATTACTTATATACTGTACATGTCAAGACAGCTGCAGTATCTTACGGATTCTATACACAAAAGTCAACTCCCAGATTATCTTGGATGTAATTAAAGGATGTTCAACTAAGCAAAGTCGGAGAGGTGATTCAGGTAACTGGCAATCTGTAAACAAGGAAAGATAGAAGCTGCAACTGAAGCTCCACCTCCTTTGCACATGCATGAACATAATAAAACAGACAATGCTTCAGTCATGATCTGACAATTGTCATCTCATCTGTGTAGACACCAATGCTGGTAACTGCCTTGTCCTAAGATGGTCACCACTTCTGGGAACAATTTTGAAGATTCTGCAGTACATCAAAAGTTTTTCCACAATACACACTCAAGCAGTTTGTACCTTTCTTTCTTTCTTTCTTTCTTTCTTTCTTTCTTTCTTTCTTTTTCTTTCTTTCTTTTCTTTCTTTCTTTTTCTTTCTTTCTTTTCCTTTTTTCCCCTCCCTCCCTCCTTCTCTTCTTCTCTCTCTCTTTCCTTTCTTTCCTACTTTTCAAGTACTGCTCAGCAGCTTCCATTTATCACTAATCATCTACCTCCACAGTAGTTCCTCTAGTCCAGTGGTTCTCAACCTGTGGGTCGGGGCCCCATTTGGGGTCGAACGACCATATACAACGCAGTCCGCCATTTTTCCCCCCCTTTTCCTTAGCTGTGCTACTCCCTTTTATTCTATTGGCTTTTGAAAGCCAATAGAATAGACTCTCTTGAATAGAGTCTAATTCTATTGGCTTTCAAAAGCCAATAGGAATTGTCCAGACGGTCTCTGCCCTGCTGAGCCCGCCAAAAAATCCTATTCTGCAAACGGTGCTGCAAGTTGTCTGCAGCGAAGGCGAGCTGTCTGGAAGCTTCCACCCCTCCCTGCTGAGCAACTACTAAAAATGTAAGTAAAAGAGGGCCAGGGGTGGGAGGTGGGAGGCCGGCGGGCGCAGGGAGGGTTGCTGGTGCACGTGGGGCCCGGCGGGTGCTTTACCTCCCTTGGGCTGGGCCAGCTGGTGGCCCAGCCGGTGGTCGGTCTGCGCCATCTCTGCCGCTTGCCAGCTACGCCTCGGCCGGCGCAGGGGGCGGCACCACGCATGTGCGGCGCTCCCGGGCAGGGAAAGTCCTCGACTTAATGATTGGTTGGGTAGTCCTCGACTTACGACCGGTTGGGGTCGTGGCATTAAAAAGGTTGAGAACCACTGCTCTAGTCTAAAGCTTCAGTGTTCTTCCTCTTACCCATCCAAGTGTTTTTACAATATCATTCAGATAGAAGAGTGAGGGGAGAGAGCAGTTCTCATGTCTGCAATCAATTACTGTACTGAAAGCAGTTCTATATTATGATTAATTTTTTTAAAAAGTCACAGAATGCAAAGAATTGTAATGACATAATGTTTGGTATAAGATGAGATCCCAAAAGGAAGAGTAGGTATTCGATATTTATTTGAAGATCTGGAATTTCATTTAAATAAACAAAAACGACTGACCCAACATTTCAAATAAATTAGTACCAAATGTCAGAACAAAATTAACAATGAGAAAAATAGATTTTGTAACATCAAACTTTTAAAAACAATCAACACCAAAGGCAATAAATCAAGTATTTTATTGACCTACAAATACTTAGAGCACCTTGAATCATTTTCATTGCTATCTGATCATTCTGGTAGCACCATCAACCTAGTGTACTTCAAATGGTATAAGGTTTCCTGCCTGAGCAGAGGGTTGGACTAGATGACCTCCAAGGTCCCTTCCAACTTTATCATTATTATTATTATTATTATTATTAAATGTACCTGTGCATCCAGGTCTAGTTAAGAGACTCGGACACTGGTTTGAGCATGGGAATATGTTCTTCAGTCTGAAGCAAAAAGCAAAATTTTGGCAACAGCTTTGCAGCCAGTCTTAGAAGCCAGTCTCAACTTATTGCTGCACAAGACACACCTGCCCCCAAATTGCATACATAGGCTGTTGCCAAAGGACATCTCACTTGTTGGCTTAGCTTTGTTTTAAAGCTATGTCAACATTAGATTTTCCAAAATCGAAGAGACTATCCAGGTAACTCTAACATACAGAGATAGGATGCATCTTGGCCAACTAAAGCAACTGTAGTAATTATGAACACTGATGTTTTCTACCAATATTGCCAATTTATTTCTGAATGTGAGGATTGGAAACTTGAATGGTCTTGGGGCGAGGGGGAAATTTCAGACATCAAAGTTCAATGCTGGGTGTGTCTCTTTCATTTCTTGCTTCTAAATGCATCCTCTCCTAAAGGTCTGGAAATTAAATTAAATCTTAACACCAGAATGTGAAACCAACAAATAAACCTGGTCACGCTGCCCTCTAGGTATGTCACCAATGATGGTTAAAAAGGATGAGATGGGAGGGCAGGGTAGGTCCCGTTTACATAAAGAAGTTGGTTCATTACACAACCATCATCAACTCTTTACAGCATGAATATATGACTTGGGTAAAATGAGAGGCAAATTATCAAAAGCAGAAAAGGAGCCTTCCTACCTGCAATAAACTTAAGCATCAGACAATGCAAGTTGGAACAGTTTATATAATTGGGTCGCGCATTTTACAATGAGAGATACCATTGTATCTTCTATCTCGGATGTGAGACAGAAGATATGAAACCTGTTTGATGTGGAGTAAACCATCCCCTACTCTACCTGCCTTTTTATTCTGGAAGTGGGCTGCAGGAAAACTAAAATGGACTATGGACTTCGAAGCTGCTTTATAAATAGAAAAGAACACGAGCAATCACAGAAAAGGAAATGGGAAGGGAAAGATCAAATGCAAAAGATGGGATTTCGAGTAGAAAATATATATTTTATCACACGTGGCTTTCATTTTTTTTTTTTTTAAAGCTACCCTCATGAGGGCAAGAAAGCTACTTCTCAAAGAGAAAACTGATACTGTACCACAGTGTTTCCCAAACTTGACAATTTTAAGGCATGAGGACTTCAACTCCCAGAATTCCACAGCCAGCGTTGCTGGCTGTGGAATTCTGGGAGTTGAAGTCCTCATGCCTTAAAATTGTCAAGTTTGGGAAACACTGCTTGTACCACAAGGATTTCCTCCAATCTTAATTCTGCATTGAACCAGCTTTATAACAAAGCTTAGGGAGTACAAGGTTGCAATCCTGTGCACGCTCGGGTAGCATTTTGAGTAATCTGTTTAGCACTATATTGTTTCCTGAGTTGAAACCAGGGTGGACTATGTAACCAGATCGTGCATAATCTACGTCAGGGGTCTCCAAACTTGGTAACTTTTAAGACTTGCAGATTTCAGCTCTCAGAATTCCTCAGCCAGTCATGCTGGCTGGGAAATTCTGGGAGTTGAAGTCCACAAATCTTAAAAGTTGCCAAGTTTGGGACCCCTGATCTCTTATCAAAGAAATCCCTCCCAGTTCTGTCTCTCCCAACTGTAAAAATGTGCTTGAATGTACTTGAATGATCACAGTGTCAAACCCTTTTATCCAGAACCTCAGGCATTACTTGAACAATGCTAGCAGAAGCGAGAAAGAGCAGAGCAAATTAAACTCAGTGATGAGAGCAAAAGTCTTCAGGATATAGAAGCTCTGAGCAAACTCTTGTTGGGCTTCATGTTTAACTCAAGCTCAGAAAAGAAGGTTGACTAACCTTCAAGAAATCGGGACGAGGGAGAATCATTATTGGATATGTTATTTCTATTCTTTCTTGGTGATAATTGTCTTTGAAGATTAGGACACTCATGAATCCAAAGCCTCCATAACCCACCTGGCATGCTCTTACATTGCTAATTGAACAGCTACAGTTCTGGGATCAGCACTAGGCTGAAGTTTTCCACGAGCAATTAAGAAAGAGGACCTACAGCGGACTTCATTGGGATTTATCTTTCTGTATCTTCTTCTCATTAATCAACTTTCTCAAGAGGAAGCAACAGCAGCTTGGTTTATTTGTCCTTAGTAAAAATGTAGGATTATCATGGTTTCCCCTTAGATTCCATAGTCCTACAACTTCCACCCATTTCTGGAGAGAAGGATCAGGGGCCCAGTTGGGGGAAAAAAACAAGTCAGAATGATTTTGCACTAAGCAGAATCTGCAGTTTAACCACGCTGAAGCTCTTTAATCTAGCTCCAGAATGAATTAGATTTGCATGAAAGAAACAAAAAAAAAAAACCCTCCCCACAACAATGAAACAAAACAGGCAACCAAAGGATTAAACGAACATATGTCTTTCATGAATGCAACATGCAGGAATATGCCATATGAAGGAAAAAGGAGATGAAACATATTGGAATAGGATAGGAGGACATAGTTGGGAAATCTACCAAAAATTTTTTTGTCTAAACCTAAAGAACTTGAAGTGTGTTCTTGCTCCACCTTCTATTTGTTCCTCTTTATTTTAAGAGCTTATATGTTGGCTCATGCAGATTCTCTCCCTGGTGGATTATGGCCATTAAGAGTTTCAGAAAGTTCTTTTCAATTTTCAATGTGCTTTTGCATTAACTGCAGGATATTGCTTAATTTCTAGAACACCATCTCTCAATATTCCAGAAATCAGAAGGTAACAGAAAATTGTTGAGTCCTTCTAAAACAGATTATTGATCCTTTGCATCAAGTGGGAGGCTCCCTATTAGAACTATTATTTACAAAAATGTACCTATTTATACCCATGAAGAGGTGAGGATTTCTAAGTGGGAAGAGAGTACCAAACTCTCCCTTTATTTGCGACGCTCTCCAGTGTAATTGTCTTCCAGCCTCATAACTTAGTGAACTGAGATGTGCAAAAAAGAAAAAGAAATATCAAGTTCAGCACCCTAATTTCATTCATAGCTCTTCACCTTTTTGTTACCTCCTGCATTTTGCCGGTGTCTGTCAATCAGAACCATTTTTCTCACTTAATGCTTTACCTTTGTCAATAGTCCTTTAATAGGCTTCATAGTTGATCTCATGCACAACCTCTAAAGAGGTCTGTTTCCCAGTGTAACAGATAACTCTTCATAATTTGACTCTCCTTCCTGCTTCTTCTTTCAAGGGGAAGCTCTGTCTCCACTGGCAGTTCTTGACTTGTACCTGCTCATTTCGGAACCAATCAAAATTTGGTTTTGTGCAGCATAGAGGGGGGCTTCAAATAAGTTACGAGAGGTTGACGGGATTTCATCTATTCGTGATTGAGACAGCATCAACATTGTTCAGAAGAAAGAGTTCAGGCTGAGAAGTAAGTCCCAGATGATACTAGACAAGACAAAAAAAGAGGTTGGTGGCAATTAGAAATGTTGTTTCAGAAACAAAATCCAGAAATCAAATATCACGAGATCACCAAATTCCCCAGGATATGACTAGCCTGTAAAGCAGTGGTTCTCAACCTTTCTAATGCCGAAACCCCATAATACAGTTCCCCATGTTGTGGTGACCCCCAACCACTTATACATCACTGGGTGCCAGGGGTGTGGCCAAAGAAAAGGGGGAAAAAATGGCGGACAGCCTTGTTTGGTGACCCCTGTGAAATGGTCATTCGACCCCAAATGGGGTCCTGACCCACAGGTTGAGAACCACTGCTGTAAAGGAACCACCCAGGAAATGGCAAGCAAAGCTGCTTCTTATCTTCCAGCAGATGATTTCATTGGCTAAGCTAGTTTTTTTGTGTGCAATTCTGACACAATTCCAAGCCGAGAGAGGGCCTTGGTTTAATGAAGTATGACTCTAATTCTAATTTTTCCAAGGTTGTTTTCGTCTCTGAGTTCTCTTAGATAATTTAAAACCAACTTTTAAGCATGAACAACAGCAACAAAAATCTATGGATTTTAAGAGAAAATTAGCACAATACACTTTTTTGGGGGGCTAGGCCATAATGCAATTTGACTGAATTCACGTATTTGCTGAATGCAAAACAGACCACATTATGGCTCAGCACAGTGGGCGAACCCAACCCATTACTAAATATCCAAATGACCACTTAAATATTCAGATCTATTTCCAGAGATGCTTGATTTGTCAGGCTCCCTTTTAAAATAAAGCGAGAATGAGCATCTGGTGTGCTACAGTACTGAGCAAATTAGAGGCGATAGGTTACTTGACAGTCAGTCACAGGAATGCACAATCCAATCACTGCATTCCAAAGTAGGCACCACTGGCGATAATTCATTATTCAAGAGGGCTGAACCAGGCTCTAATGAAGCAAACCACTCCCAGCCAAAATCCACATTGCTGAATTTGCAAGTTGATTACATCTTAGGCTAGCTTTTTTTCTCCTTTGTAGAATAGGATGCTTTTAAAGTCATTCTCAAGTGTCCTTGAAGTTAGAAATACTTCATGGAGATTTTTTTGTTGTTGTTCTTAAAATCCAATTAATGACTTCTCTTTTATAGAAGGGGCAGACCTATTTGGCCTATTCTAAGGGTTAAAGCAAATGAATCTTTGATATCATTGCGGCTATTGTTTGATCCTATTCTACTATTCCTTGACTAAGTATTTAAAAATAGAGTTGATAATAAATCTGGGCAAGAGTTTGTTTCACGCCTTGTTGAAATTCTAAGGGTTTTCAAGATCTTCTGAGCACTGGCCTCAAAGATGAAAGGCTGGGTGTCGATCAAGCTTGCCTGAGTAGGTGCCTTCCTTATATCTGGAATTTTATATTTACAATTCCAATTATCCCTGGCTAGCATAGCCATGGAAATGAGAGTCCAAAGCAGTAGTTTCTTGAAAACACTGGAGAACCAAATCCCCAAGGACAGATTGTTCTCTGTCTCTCTCACTGGGCCTGTTCTTTGCAGCTGACTCTTGGACAGATCAGCTTCCTTGCTGAAAAAACGCGTCATCATTTCAACAATGCCTGATAGAAATCTTGCCCATGTTTTGCCTGAAGCTGCAAGGCAAATGTTTGCACCTGAGTAGGTGGTGTGTTTTGAACTGTAGATGATTGCTAGCAAGTATGTATGATACTGTGTTAATTTCCTCATCTTTTTACGCCTCCTCACAAAGCTGTACAGTGATATTCAGAAAAAAAAGGCCCTGGTATGGAATCATTCAGCTTGGGGGGGATGGGATCTGCATCTTGCAAATTCTAGTGCTCCAGATGTTCATGTAGCTGATTTGAGATGATGCAATTTAGGGGTAGGAACACTGTAGAGCAGTGGTTCTCAACCTGTGGGTCGGGACCCCATTTGGGGTCGAATGTCCATTTCACGGGGGTCGCCAAACAACGCAGTCCACCATTTTTTCCCCTTTTCTTTAGCTGTGCTACTCCCTTTTATTCTATTGGCTTTTGAAAGCCAATAGAATAGACTCTCTTGAATAGAGTCTAATTCTATTGGCTTTCAAAAGCCAATAGGAATTGTCCAGGCTGTCTCTGCCCTGCTGAGCCTGCCAAAAGTCCCATTCTGCAAACGGTGCTGCACCAGTTGAGTAGTCCTCCACTTACGACCCATTGAGTAGTCCTCAACTTACGACCGGTTGGGGGTTGCGGCATTAAAAAGGTTGAGAACCACTGCTGTAGAGTATATTCTGTTCTGCATAAGGGCAACAGATTCATTTTACCTTCAGTTTAGCTGTAACAATTGCCAGGGATAGCCATTAGTTAAAGGGTGTCAAAAAAAGGGTGTCAATATGGCAGTCATTGCCATTTTGAATATTTAACACACACTTCCTCCTTGCAGTTGCCCTTAATTAGATTTTCCATTAATTTGTATCAATTTTATACAAATGAATGTTTTGCAGATTAACATGATACTATCCATACTACTCTCTATTGCGCTGTTTGGCTGATGAGAACTTTTTTTTAGTTATGCTTGGCAATCATTTGTTTTTCAATTCATGTAGAAACATTTGTCAATGCTGCTAACATTGGATGTTTTTGCATTGACAACAGATGGAAATGTAGCCATCTTTCACCTTTTGCTTTTAGAGTTAGATGAGGCTGGGAGGGGGAATGTGAACAAGAGTCCAACTAGACATAACACTGGACCTAGCATGAGAAACAAGGTTATTGTAAACCAGAGCTGATAAGGAATTGGCGGGCTGGAAAACTGGGCTTCAAGCTAATTGGGGAATGTGATTTATGACTGTTAATTGGAGGAGGGAATTCATAGCTTTGATACTATGTGCTCAGGGGAGGGGAATTCAGTTTTTGGCTTTGATTATGCAGTGCCGATGTTATGCTACTCGAAATAAAGATTCTTTAAGGTAAACAATGCCTCAAAGTTCATTTGAAGAGTTTCATCTGTTGGAACCATGACTACATTACTATTTGACACCCCCCTTCCCTATTACTTAAAGTGAATTGTTGGATTTAACTTCATTATTGGATTAAATGTTTTCATTCCTCTGCCCCTTTCATTATAATAGAAGGAGTGCACTTTCCTTAGTCATGATCTGTATCTGCTTTAGGAAATTCCAGAATTCCTATTCTGGAACACATGCATGGATCACTGAATCAATGTAAGCAAGCCTCATCAGATTTTTAGAATCATGTCACTGGGGCTTAAGATACAGAGAATAAAATTTCAGCTGTTAAGCAATTTGTTGTAACTAAATCACACCAACACTCATTCTCATTTAGACTCACTCTCATTTAGACTAATTGCAATATCAATTTCTCACCAAATTATTTGTGTGCTAAGAGAAATATACTAAGTTAATATTTCAAGTTATTTTTGCATTCCTAGTACAGGAAAGAACTGGTCTGTAACGCATTTCTACCTGCTATAAAAATGATGGGTGTGGATTACTATGAACTAGGCATAAATATCTTCTATACCTAGCAAAATATTAAGAAATTCAACATGGGTTGAGCATTCATACATGGCAGTGCGTCTCTCTTCCTTTCACTTGGAATTTGAGGTGTTTAAAAGGATACAGTTCAGTTTAAAAGTGTTTCAATGTTCTTGGGAATCCAAGAGATTTAAAAGTTCTTTTCTAAAAATCAGGGCTGAGATTTAAGACATTTCATGCTGTGATTGGAGAGCTGCAAATATCCTATGTTTGAAGGACTATCGTATGTACAACCACAGCTTAATTTTGATGAGACTTGCAACACGTCATTCACAGGACATTATTAATCTTAAAATGAGTACCCTTTTCTAGCACAGAAAAACAACATTCTACGATTACCTGGCAACTAGATGAAAGCACACATTCATTGTTCTGGCTTTTACAAATATTGCTTTATATCTCAACTTGCCAGACCTATATTAAATATTTCAATGAGTCACGATTGCATTTGAAAGCTTTGACCTTTTTTTTCCTGAAGCCATTATAAATATTACCAAACATTTGTGTGTTATAAAATTATATATGTTTTCCATATTGTAGGAAATGGAACGCTTTTTAGGGAGAAAAACAATTACTTACACTTTCCAGTTCCTTTAAAGCTGGCAAAGAAAGCTTGTCACAGGAGAAAGAAAAAAAATGCTCATGATGTGTAGTATGTATGTAAGAGGATGATTACATTAGTTTTAATTTAATCTGCATATAAAAATTACTTGGAATATACTAGAAATATATTTTCTTAAGTGGGAAATATATAAGCCTTATAAGATTGCTCCATTGGCCAGGAATCTATTAACATTTTATTTTACCCCTGCAAAATGTTTGTTTAAGCAAATTAGATCAATATTATGGCTATGGACTCATACAAAACACAAAGATACAAGCGTGCGTGTGTGTGTGTGTGTGGTGTGTGTGTGTGTTGTGTGTATTTATTGCATTATTTAAAGCAGGCAAGTCCAGGCCACATATGGCCCTGGACAGCTAGTAATGCGATCCCACAAGTTCATAAACTTTTAACATTATATGATTATATACATTAAAATATATTAATAATATATATATTTTATATGAAACCCAAGTCAATTCCTCTTCACTCAGCGCAACCCAAGCAGGACAAAAGGTTGGACACTCATAATCTAAAGCAAAACCAATAAATAGGCCCCAAAGTTCTAAAATGCTTTAATTTAAACTTCCAAATTGTTTGTTCTATTTTATCAAGATAATGAAATTTCAGCAGTCCCTTTGTTCTCATCTTAGCTATTTGCCACTGTCCCTATTTACTAATACATTGCAACTTTATAGGGGTGTCTCTGAGTTTCTTTGTTATTTGCACGGAGTCAGGTATTAAAGCAAGTTTTAAAGTTGACCCTTTAGGTCTTCAATTTTTGTTCATCTCACCTTAATAATATGAAAAGATCAAATTGTTCATTGGAAATCTAAAAACAAAACAGCATTTTTTTTTGACAACA